TAGACAGTCACCCAAAGTTCCTCTGTAACATTGGAGCATCCATCTTCAGTCCATAGGCCAAAGTGTCTGGCAGACTTCTCAGTGAAGCAGGAAATTTTAACTGTCCACCTGTATTACAGTTTATCAGTCATTTTCTCTGTCCTGCAGAATGTCTGGCAGACTCTTCTATGAAGCAAGAACCCTGCAGGACGGTCCCATCTTGTTTTGCATGTTCAGTAGTCTCTTTCCTGTGGGTCCTGCATGTCCACTTTATACAGCATATAGTCAAACAGTCCAGGCAAGAGAGGTTTCTTGCCCAAATGGATGTTTCTGCCATGTTGAAGGCAGACTCTATAATGATTTTCTTCGATGCCCATCTTCCTCTCTGATATAATTGGTATTGCCAGGAGCATCTGTGTCTCACTGTCATGATAAATCTTAAATGCCATGTTCTGTAGGTCTTTGAAAGGTTTGATGAATATCTGTCCATCTCAAATATATCTCTGTATATCTAGAAAACCTAACCTAAACATAACTATAAGTTTTGACAATCATAGGTGACTACAATCTGTATTTAATTATACATTACATTTTTTAATGAGCTATATAACCATAATACCTAAACAAGAGGAAAAATATACATATAATAAAATTGACCTTAAATTTGTATCAATAAACCAAAACCCATTCCAATGCAAAGTATTCATTTCAATATCATAATCCCCTTTTTTTCCTTTACAAAGAGATTGGCTGTGATCAGTAACAATTTATAATCAACCCAAATTAAACAAAAAAAATTATAAACAGTATTTGGGAATTTGGGTGTCATTCTCCCAAACTGCTTCCTGCTGTTTGGGGGCACTGTCAATACCATGGGGATCCTGAGAAAACCTAGAAACCTGGCCAAATCCTGGCTATAGTAGTCTGAAAGGTTGCATGATCCCAGGTATTTTTGGATGTTGGATCACCTGGATCACTATTTCAGGGGGTCTTGCTTGATCAGATCGTATTAGTCTGAAGGAATCCACAGCTTTTCATTTTCTGTAGAAACAAAAATAAAATGTCTCTTCCAAAGTAATGTGTCCTTAGACTTAAATGTTGAAAGTCAAAGCATTCTTAAAATATGTAAGTTGTATTAATTCAGCAGCATTTATCATCAAATGTCTGTTAACAGCTGTTGCTCTTTCCTCAGCAATCAGACAATTCAACGACAACACAATAGCATACACTATCCAGACTCTCTTTGTACTTCCCATCTTTACCTGGCTTTTTTATTACTCTATTTCTTTTACTTTTTTTTTTTTTCTTTTTGAGACAGGGTTTCTCTGTGTAGCTTTGGCCACCCTTGAACTCACACTGTACACCAGGCTGGCCTAGAAGTCACAGAGATCTGCTTGCCTCTGCTTTCTTAGTACTGGGATTAAAGGTATATGCCACCACCGCCTAGCTGCTCTATTTCTTTTTTAACCACTTTATCCTTTTTTCTTTTCTCTCCCAAGCCTATGTGTATTTTTTAAACACATTGTAAACCCTTTAGAGGTTTTTCTTCATCTGAATCTGTCTTTACTGTATATCTCTATCTTTTTCTGGGTTCAAGTCTTTTATCTGCTAAACGGCATTGCTAAAAGTGCCATGCAGTTTTTGCTGCTTACGCTGAGTCAGGAAGCCTCCCTTAAAGGAGCTGTGAGCCTCTGCTTGTCTCTAGCCAACAGACTCCAGCCAAGAAAATGTAGCTACCAAGAAGCCATGCTTGACTTTGTTCTTTGGTTTCTAAAATCCCTTTTTAAGCTTTTGTCAGGTTTCACATAGAAATTCCCACAACCCACAGTGCCAGTTTGTTGCTGGTGGTTCTTGTCCCACAACAGCTTCTCAGCCCCAAATAAACACACAGATGCTATATTGATTATTAAACTGTTGGCCAGTGGCTATGGCTTCTTATTGGCTAGCTCTGTCTTAATTACTAACCTATAACTACTAATCTATGTATTTCTACATGGCCTTATCTTACCAGAGAACACCTGATGCGTACCCTCCCAGTCTCTACATGGCAACTCCAGTGCTTCTCTGCTTACCTTGCCCAGAATTCTCCTTGTCTTCTAGCCCTACTTATCTTCCTGCCTCTTATCGTATATAGCACATAGGTAGTATCAGACCTGAACTCACAGAGGGTCGTAAAGAGAGCCCTTTTAGTTTTTTTGTTTTGTTTCAGGCAGGGTTTCTTTATGTAGCCTTTGCCGTCCTGAAACTAGTTCAAATTCACAGAGATCTGCCTGCCTCTGCTTCCTGAGTACTGGATCAAAGGCATGCACCACCGCCACCTGGCCTGGGTTTAGGTTTTTTGAAATGTTTCACTTTCTGCAGTCCAGGCTGACTTCAGGTTTGCAGCATTCATCCTGTATAAACTCCCAACCATTGTTCTATACATACAGGACTTGATGTCTTTTTCATGGATAACATCTAAATTTTACAATTTTTAAAAACTAATATAATAGAAAGTATGTTCCTCCTTGTAATATGCTTAACAATGAATTTGTCTTACTAGGATACAATATCACAAAAATCTGTAGATATACATGATTCTGTTCAACCAAGATCTTCAGATAACAGACAGCAGGCACCACTGGTTTCTGTTTCTACTATGAATGAAGAAGTTAGCAAAGTGAAATCTACAGCAAGTGAGTTATTTCTCTAAATAAAAATAAACTGTACTTTAAGTAAGAGTCATTGTGGGGGGAGGGAGAGGGAGGTGGGATGGAGGCAGGGTTTCTCTGTGAAACAGTGCTAGCTGTCCAGGAACTTGCTCTGTAAACCAGGATCTTGAATTCACAGAGATAACCTGTCTCTGCCTCCTGCGTGCTGGAATTAAAGGTGTGCACATCTGCCCATTTGTTTCTCTTAGTAATAATAAGCATATGCCATAATTGGTTTGGGGATAACTTTTTACTCTGTCTACTCCAGTGTCGACATCTCTGGCAGATAATTCTCTTTCAAGAACTTCACTAACATCTACAGTATTACTGGTTGATTACAGTCCCTTTGGTTAATGTTTGTTTTGGGTGCATGGGTCTTCCTTCTCTATCCGTCTACATTCAAGCCCCATATTCTCTCTGCTTTAAAGGTGGGAAGCTGCATGTCTTTCTCTACCTCTTTGCCTGGGAATTTAGTAAAGGCCCCAATACAGGAGCTCCCAGCTTAGAGGATCAGTCTTTGTACACTGCTGGACTACCTTCAGATTCTCCATCACCTTTGCCTAAAAATGGGACAGACACTCTCTTACTTTTTGACATTAGTTCAGTTTTGTTTGCTGAAAGCAAATAACATATAGGAAAGACTACATCTCTTTAGAAAAAAAGGTGGCTTTAAACACTTTGTAAAACTTGAGTCTGTGGACAACAAGATGGCTCAGTAGGTGAGGGCACTTGCTGTCATGCCTGATACCCTGAATTGAATTCATGGGAACTCTATGGTAGGAGGAGAGAGTTATGTCTTAAAAGTTGCCCTCTGGTTTCTACCTGCCAACACACACATGTATGTACATGCACAATAAATGCACGATAAATAACTAATAAAATTTTATTTGAGACTATATTCCTAGAACAGTAATATTTGCAAATAAAGAACTGAATTGCATTTAGTACATTCAGAATGTTTTGCAAATACCATCTATGACTAGTTATTCTCCCTTTCTCTAGCTCATGGCAACCATTATTCTGCTTTCTGTGCCTAGGCTCTTCTGTGGGTTTTATGTGGATGAAATCATAAAATATGTGATTTTGAGATTCATCATAGTATGATTCAGTAACTTACTCCTTTTTATTACTGAGTTAGCAATCCTCTGTATATGTATACATAACATATTTTGTTTGCCCACTCAGCTTCTTGATAGACATTGAGTTTGTGCTACATCGATTATGAGTAGGACTAGTGGGAATATTTGTGTTCAAGCAGTTTGAACACCTGTTTTTCAAATCTTCTGTAAATGTACCTAGAAGTAGAATAACTGGGCTGTATTCTTTATAACATCTAAAGAACCATAAAGCTGTTCATGGTAGTAACACCGTTTTACATCCCTACTAGGAGTCATAGTGCAGCCTCATCTGCCAAAATGCTTACTAAGGATACCTGGGTACCACTCAGAACTCTCCCAGAACCCAGATGAAACTGTTTTTCCTTAAAAACTTTCTGGGGTCCAGGTGCTACCAAGAGGCTCTGGTCTGGGATATTTTGGCTAATAAAATAAAGGGATGAGAATGCACAGTGGTGGCTATCACTGTAACAAGAGATAATGAAAGAGATGGGGTGGGTCTTTTTGTTTTTAACTCATCTTCAACCATAAGAACCACACAGTACATAGAACAACATTTCTAAAAGGAATATCTGGATAGGAAACTTTCAAATGTCTCAGTAAGTAAAGTTAATTTGCAAAAAGTTGGTACCAGGAAAGGAGTTTTATAGTAACTAAACTATAGTAACTTTTTATATTAGAAAGAAACTAAGGGATTGTAAATTGGCAACTACTGGAACCATTACCCCAAGACTGATTAATAAGCAATTCCTCTTGAGCATCTGTTGCCCATTAGAACAGGACCCAAATGTGGCCCTGCTGTCTGACCAGTTCCTTCCCTTGCATGGCCCACATCTGTGCTGCCCAGGGCAGACGGCAGCTGGCAGCTGAGTCCTGTCTCTCAGCTTCTGCATCTGCATCTGCCTGGCTGCATGGTCATTGAAAAGGATCGTTCAGCCTGCTGTCCTAGCAGGCTGGTAGACTGAGCACAGTATCACGTGTTTGATTAGAATCCCGACTCTCCCACTTTCTGTTTGGTGTTGATGTGGTTCCTGTTGTTTCCTTGTACAGGTTTTCATATTATTTTCAAAGAGAAGACTTGGGCATCAGTAAAGGCTACTTATTTCAATAATAACCTGAATTGAAAGTAGCTATTTGAGCATGTACATTGTTCAAATCATGTAAGATATTTCCATTTATTTAAGCAATTACTTTCATGGATACAAAGTTAACTTTAGCAAGTGGTATCTATGAGCAAAGGCAAGATGTCTTCAGTGTGAGATGGGTAGATAACCTTCATACATAGAAATGTATCCTTAGCGTTATAATGTCATAAAAATTATAAAGGATTCAAAATAATGTTTTGTTGCATGTGCGTTGGGGGGTTTCCTCACAGAATTCCCAGAACAAAAACTGTTTGCTGCCCTGTTGATTAAATGTGTTGTGCAGCTGGAACTCATCCAGACCATCGACAACATTGTGTTCTTCCCAGCCACAAGTAAGAAGGAGGATGCAGAGAACTTAGCTGCAGCCCAGGTGAGGAGCAGTGAGGGCAGGCAGCTTGTCTGTGAGAGGAGGGAGGCAGCTGCAGGCTCTGGCCTCAGACCATAGTCAGGCTAGAGATGTCATTTGGATTTCCTTCTTCATGTAGCTGCCATTCCAAACCCTGAGCCTAGATGATGTCATGAGGTATAAGAATGGCCATGGCAGAGAGGGAGGGTCAGGGAGTGAGCTCTGGGGCACCACAGTTACTAGTGACAAAGGCAGTTGGTAGGGACTCCATAGAAATCAATAAGGCCAAAGAGAAGCAAGGTCAGGTCATAGTGGAAGTCAAATAAAATGTTTTTTAAGAATAGGGCCGGGCAGTGGTGGCGAACGCCTTTAATCCCAGCACTCAGGAAGCAGAGGCAGGCGGATCTCTGTGAGTTCAAGAACAGCCTCCAAAGCCACAGAGAAACCCTGTCTCAAAAAAAAAAAAGAATTGACAAAGTACTCTAGATGGGTCACATAACATTGATAGTTCACAGGACTTCATCAGCTTGACATTGAATTGAGCTTAACACTTGAGAACAAAAGCCTAGTTGTAGTGGGTATAAGAGGAGGAGTTGGAGACTATACATATTCAAAGATGCAAAACTGCTTGAGAAGAGAAGGGCTTGTGAGCCACAGAGGTGGCCAGCGGCCACAGGCCTGAGAGCCAAAGCCTGGTGTGTGTTGGGTGCTGGTACCAGATGCTTCAAAGAAGGCAGATGTTTTCTCCTTTGTTAAGGTAGACATTTGCTAATGTCTTGGATAGGAGGTGGGAACACTTGCTACTCTTGGCAAAAGACCCAGTTTGATCTCACAGTTCACAGCTTCCTGTGTCTCTGGTTTCAGGGGATCCCATACTCTTCTGTGGCCCGTGTGGGCACGTGCACATACATGGTGCACATATAGATAAGCAGGCATACACATATATATGTAAATATTAAAAAGAACAGGGTTGGGGGAATGTTGAGTTTACTAAAGCTGGTCTAAGTGTGTGTTGTGTTTTGTTTTCTAAAGAGAGACGCAGTAGACTTTGATGTTCGAGTTGATACTCAAGACCAAGGAATGTACCGCTTTTTAACATCACAACAGCTTTTTAAGCTACTGGACTGCTTATTAGAGTCCCATAGATTTGCAAAAGCATTTAATTCCAACAATGAACAGAGGACTGCTCTGTGGAAAGCGGGTAAGCTATCCCATGTCTCATAGTGTCACTGAGAACATACTGACATTGTTCATGTTGGAACTTCCTAAGTGAGCACCTGAGGTCCAGTGATAATGAGAATATATAATTTAGCACCCAGGCCTCCTGTCAGCTGGAAGCCAAATAACCACCTGAGTGCATTCATCCTCACTCAGTCCCCCTCTGGTAACTTGACTGATTTGTGCTTTCCTTAGATTGTGCTGACTGTCTTTGTATTGCTCGTCAGCATAATACAAACTCCTTGTTTGAGAGAAATCGTTAGTGCAGGCTCCACATGGGTCTGCTATCCTTACCAGGATGACTGATTCCCTAGGAGTGGCCATTCCTTGGAACCAAAAGGAGCAATTGTGGGTATAGGTGAGGGTCCTCAGAACATAGCCAGAAAAAGGAAGAAGGGGGCTATTGGCTAGTTAGTATCAACCTCTGCATTCAATAGAATGCTGGCTGCTATATCATAGCTTTGTTTATCCTCCTCCCTTTACAACCCAAAGAGAACAGAAGTGTCCTGCTGCCCCACCCCAAGGGCACTGGCTTTTCTGTCCTTTCATGTCTCTGGCTCACAAACAACCCCTCTCCCCCTTCCCCTGTGATTATGGAGCCCTGACAATGGCAGAGCTCTGCATCTGCTGTTTTGCCTGCAGGGCTCCAGGTGTAATTCTTTAGGAGTGTTTGCTTTCCCAAGCTGTTTTTCTATCTATAGGGTCTAGAGCAGTGGTTCTCAACCCTCCTAATGCTGTGACAACCCTTTAAGACAGTTTATATTGTGGTGACCCCAACCATAAAATTATTTTCATTGTTACTTCATAATTGTGATTTTGCTACTGTTATGAATCATAAGGTAAATATGCAACCCCAGGTGGGTGGTGACCTGTGGGTTGAGAACCGCTGATCTGTATAGGGTCTGCTTTGTAATAAGCAGCCAGTGTTAAACACAGGCAGAATCTGCTTCCCTGCAGGCTGTTTGACTTTTTCATATGATGCCTTCCAAGTCTAACTCCAGAACCTTCCCCTTCTACAGGCTTCAAAGGCAAGTCCAAGCCCAACCTTCTAAAACAGGAGACAAGCAGCCTGGCCTGTGGGCTGCGCATTCTCTTCAGGATGTACATGGACGAGAGCAGAGTCAGTGCCTGGGAAGAAGTCCAGCAGAGGCTTCTGAAGTAAGGCTGGTAGCTGGTAGTTGTGTGGACTGTGAAAAGAACCATAGCCGCAGCAAGCAGGTAGCTGCTGAACATTTAGAATCTGGAAGTGCCACTTCTCAGATTAGTGTGAAAACTACTAAGTTGCCTCTTCCCCTGCATACATGGCATGCCTGTGTTAAACAGGCTGCCTGTGAACTCCTGTTTGCTTCCTGAGTAAATGCTGTTCTGTGCCCACCTGGCAGCATCTGAACAGGTCACATGTGACATACAGGACAAGGGACATCTTTATCATTCAGAAACATGATGATAGGTGTTGAGTACTTCCAATGCCATAAGATAGGTCTTTCTTAGAAAGCAGTTGTGTAACTGACAGGCTGCCTTATCTGTCTGCATTTTTTATCTAAAAAGTATTTGGAGTTTTGTTATTATTGCTTCTAGATTAGAGACAGGGTTTCTTCGTGTAGCTCTAGCTGTCCTGGAACTCACTCTGTAGACCATGCTGGCCTTGAACTCACAGAGATCCAACTGCTTCTGCTTCCTGAGTGCTGGGATTAGTGTGCACCATCACCACCTTGCTGGAGTTTTGATTAGTTGAATTTGTTTTGTTCTTATCACAAAGTAAATTTAGCTTCTGCTCAGACTGCAGGTCATTTAGGAGAAAGAATGCTGATGCATTGTACATCCCTGTCCCAAGAGCAGTGTGGTTCAACACATCTCACAAATCACTATCCCAATCTCCTCTTCTGTGTACACAACTAGTCAGGTGCAGGAAAGGCTGAGCCTCATAGTCAGTGAGGGAAAAGCCACCAGTTTCAGCCCAGGCCATGCCAGCAGGCCTGTATACCTGCTATGCATCCCATGGGGACTCCAAGTGAGAGAGAAAATGGAGAAGGGGTAGGTTTCCTAAACATTTCTCAGGGGCCTCCTTTAATGTTTTTCTTCCTAATCTGCAAAATGTGTCTTGGTGCTCCAGTTAATAAAAACAAATAGAATCTAGCCAGTTCATCGACAGTTAACATAGCTACCTTCTTTTGTCTTCAGAGCTGACCGTGAATGCAGACAGTAGGTCTCAGTATGTAAAAGCTAGCCTTCTCTTTTGCAGTGTCTGCAGTGAAGCCCTGAGTTACTTCCTCACTCTAACGTCCGAAAGTCACCGTGAAGCCTGGACTAACTTACTTTTATTATTCCTAACTAAAGTTCTGAAGATAAGTGATAACAGGGTAAGTATGAGGCTTCCTGTCTGTCCCTGTCCCTGCAGTTAAGGTAGAGCCACTCAGGGCCTAGACTATACTACACTAAACTTAGGCTATGCAGACCCTCACTTAGCTTTGTTTTCTAATGAGTTTATTTAGAGGAGAAATTAGAATCCCATCAGACATAACTGAGAAGCTCCTCAACGTTGAAACCCTCAGTATGACCCCTGGAAGTACTAAAAACGGAAAACAGGTTTCCAGCCTACAGTGTGGCCTTGCCCTGAGCCTGTACTCAGGCCTTTCGTGTATTTAGTAGCTCCAGGTGACCAGAGTGAAAAATTCAGACCAGTAAAAATAAAGATAAAAATTATCAAATGTAAATGTATAGATATATACATTTACATATAAATCATACAAATGTTTTATTACAATGTCTTCAAAATTGTACATTTCCATTTTTTAAAGCAACTTACAGATTAGGAAATTCGTTGCTATGAGCCATAAATTTCAAATGCCGTTAGTTCACCTGATACTTGAAACTTGAAACTAGCATATTAGAGCCTATGGGGCAGCACAGTGCCACTCTGGCTGTCAGGTGTCTATCCTGAGTCATGGTCCCTGGGTCCAGATGCATCTGCATCTGCATCTGACCCTGTGCCTGATGATGCCAGGAGTGTGTCTTCCCTCATAGTATGCTCTCTGGCCACAGTGTGCTTGCAGTACTGCTTCCCTGTGTCTGGTGCAGTGTGGAAGAGCATGAAGAAAAGAGCAAACTTGAGTTCAGAGATGAAGGAATTAAAATTGGTCCAAGTATATGATTGGAACTGTAAAAGTGGAATGCCTTGATTTTAGTCAGGGTTATCTAGAGAAGCAGAACTTGAGAGAGGAGGGAGGAGAGAGAGACAGAGAGAAACATGTGGTTGATAGAATAAGTTATAGGCTGTGGTCGGATGATCCAATAGTGGATCTCTCCACAGAAAGACTGTGGCCCAGATTTAGGACGGGTCATCCACCTCAAATGATCTGGCCATTTTGAAATGCCTCATGGGCATGCAAGATTGATTGATTTTTAGTTGATTCCAGGTGTGTTGGCAACCAAGATTCACAGTGCTAGGTAGAATCTTCCCTTAAAACTTAAAACTTGTATTTAAAGATGCAACTTAACTCATATATTCTAAAAGTTCCGTTTTTCTCCCTATCCTGCTTCTTATTGTTTAATATGCAGGAAAAGCATGTTAATTTATAAATTTTGTCAGATATATATTAGAAAACGTTTTTAAAAACACTGAAGAACCAAGTGGCCTGGTGTTTTTTTTGTTTTCACATTATACCCAGCTGCTCTAGCTTTTAAAGACAATTTAGTTTCTGTGGTTTGTAATACAAGCAGTACTAATGAAGACATTTATCTCCTCCCCACAGTTTAAAGCTCACGCATCATTCTACTACCCTCTCTTATGTGAAATTATGCAATTTGACTTGATTCCTGAACTTCGTGCTGTTCTTAGAAGATTTTTCCTACGAATTGGAATAGTTTTTCAGATATCACAACCACCTGAACAGGAACTTGGAATAAACAAGCAATGATGAGAACTGAATATTTTTCTGTTGGTGTTTACATTCCTCTGCTCTGTAACAGGACCCTAGAGCAGAGGTTTCCTACCTGGAAAATTGTTTCTCTCAATTGCAGTGTCTGAGAATTACTGGTAGCGATGCAATGCGATGCTTACAGCTATAACTCAGTCCAACACTCCATGTGGTCCCTATAGTAAGTAGTCTGGTGGCTTCTCTGTCATGTTGGGCTCATGTTGAGCAGAAAGTCTGTTCAAACAGTGTCAGCTTACCCTCATGGGTCCTTCCCTGTCCTCTGAGCAGGGTGAGCCCCACACACTTTTGGCAGGTACGAAAATGAAACTTACCCAAAGAAGTATAGATATAAAGATGGAACTTCTGCAAGAAGTACAACTCAGGAGAGCTGTATTTTGAAGGATAAAATGTTTATAATTGGGGGGGAAGGGAGAAAATTATTGCTCATGGTAAAAGATATTTAGCAACTATGGTATTCTTACTCTGAAGATTTTTGCACACTCAGGCTATCTGAGATACTGGGAATCATCATCTTTCTGTGAAAATGTACAGAGATGGAGGGCTGTAATATAAAAACCTTAAAACATATTGTTCCTCCTGCACTGTCTTATTTCTTTATTTTCTTATCTACTTGCTAAATACCCATAATATTTTGTCAAATGCACTAAAACATTTGGGGTGAACTTTTGTCTTTTGGGGGGATGGTCATGTTGAGGGCTTAATATGAATCTGTTGTGACTAGTGCTTGTCAAGATCACAACGGGGGGAACCACCAAGGTAGAACACATCCACGCTGACAAGAACTACCTGTGACATACTCCTAGGGCTTTAAAGATGAGCCATAAAGTAGATGACCTTTCACAGAGTGAAACTTGAATCACTGCAGAATGAATCTAGGTTGCTGTCACTTTTTCTTTTGGGTGGCGGGGCTTGATGTAGATTTTATTCTATGTACAGAATTTAATGTTGAATATATTAAAATAACAAATCTGGCATGGTTTGGGGAGGTTAGATTTACTGGAAATGTATTCATACTGTGAATTGTGCTCTGATGGTAAAATGCAAAGCTTGTCAAGCATTCCATATTAACAGTGGATGTAGAAAATTTTTTTCAGATGGATAAAATGTATATGGTACAGATGTAAAGTTTTCTATGTAAAAATTCTGTACAACTTTCTGTACAATATTGATTCTCATCTGGCATATCTAATCAGGTTATAGGTCAATAAAGTTTTTGAATTATTTCATCAGTGCAGTTAAAACTGTGTAAACCTACAGCCCTGTTTTCATTGATTTTTTTTTTATTTTTTTTAGCTACACAGCTTCTTTTCTTAATCCTAGGATATCCAAAAGTGTTCTTTCCTACTCAGCAATAAGTTGCTGAGACTGGAAAAATGCCTTTAGGGTAGTTTGTGATGTGGCATTTTGTAAATGAATCTGTCCCAGTTATGTGACATATTTCAAGAGGAAACGTGTTAGTCTTTGCTTCCATATCTCCTTAGACCAGCTCCGTTCAAACTAGGCTAAATGTTGTAACTAAAAGTCACTTTGGTGTCTTCTGACCTAAACCATTTCCTACCATTATTGGCAGTTGGTTGTTCAATGTTTTTTTATCCACTCCCCAAAGAGGACACAGTCCCTCTTACTGCCACATACTGACAGAAGAAAATTTATTAGTAGAGCAGAAATGTCTTATTTGGTAAACTCTTCTGTCTTTATGTGCCATTGATTTTTGTCCTTGGAAATATCAAAGCTGGGCTGTCTTCACTGTCATAGTGGTGTACTGAAGACACTAATCCAAGTAAAAATCACTTTCTAGAAGTTGAATAAGTCTTTTTCTGAAGAATCATTTACTGATTAGCAAAGGGTCTGAGGCCACTGCCTCTGTCCTTTCTGGGTGGGAGCTTTTAGCCTCTAGAAACCTCAATTCTACTTCAAGTAAAGAAACTGACATTGGTAGTTAATAAAAATAAAACTTTATTTGTATCAAGAAATAGTGAAATCAGATAAATTAGTAACTGAGTGAGTCTGTGCTTTCATCAACACAAAAATAAAATGGAGGCAGAAAGATGTAACATTTAGTCATGGCTCATGGAGGTAAAATGGTCACAACTCCCTTGACTCCTATAGAATCTGTAGTTACAAAGGTCATGAAAATGAGTAGCTTGTTTGAGTTGCTCGTGTACATAGCCACTGAAATAATCACAGCCACAGCAGGTGTATTCACTATGAATTGTTTCAACACAAAGCTAACAGTAGCAAGGGTGCTAGTAAAAATGTATTGTGTTTCACAGTACTGTTAACACTTTCATTTACCATCTCTTAATGGCAAGCAGAATTTAATGCACATGTGGCAGCTGAATCTAGAGTTCATCACCACCCACAGCAAAATTGCAAAGCTAATTCTATACAATTATGTTATAAATCAATCAGGGATTTTTATGTACATTATATATACATATAACATGTATCATAATAGGAAAAATATGCTTTATATATAGATAGAACATAAATAATATTTAGGTAGGGCCATAAGCAAGACATTCAAGATACCGATTGAACATTCCTTCCACTGTAAAAGGCACTGCTGGTCCAGGGAGGGTTTATTTTAAATTAAGCATGTGCAGCAGACAAGCTCTGCCAAGTGAAAGTGCCTGGCTTTCCAGGGACCTGCTGTTCCTCATTAAGCTGCTCTGCCATGAACTGTTTCAGAGTTTCAGAGGTGCTGGGGTGGAGCCAGGGCTCAGTTGCTACAGAGTTGGATCCATCCTCACCCAATTGTTTCATGATGTCATCAGGATCAACCAAAGAACTCTCGTCATCTGCAGGAGGCAAGAGAGACAAGTTGGGTGGCAGGTGACATACACAGGGTACTTACAGTCCAGCCCATTACAGCTCTGTATCTCTTTACAGAATCACCACCCTTCCCCCATCTTTGGGAGTAGGAGATCATGCCAAGAAAGGGGCTATGTTGGGGGTGGGAGAGAAATAAATTGACTCCATCATACTGGCAGCTACAAGAACTCTAAATATACCAAAGGAGAGTCTACCAGACATTAGACGTTGACTGCAGAAATATAGACTATTAAAAAACAGTGGCCATGACACAAGACTTTAAAGAATTTAGGGATACTTGTCTAGCCTATGGCACTGATACAGGCACGTAGAGAGTCATTTTGAGGAAATTAGTTACATCTGCACTAATCTAAGATGGCCCATTAAGAGGGGACTCGTTCATTAGCCACAGTTATTACTAAAATTCTATATCTATATTTGACTTAATAAAAATAAAAATCTGTCTTCCTACCCTGTGATGTCAATTTCTTTTTCTAAAAAAAAATGACATCTCCTGGTCTGGGTTAGCTCAGCAAAGGGGTGTGCAATCAGTTAATGAGCAATCATTCCACATCGTACCAAAAAGCTCCTGTTTGAAAGGACAGTATTAAAACAAAGTTTAGACATTGAAAACCTGAAAGAATCTTTAAGTTTTAATATTTCCTCACACATATATCCTAAGGTATTAGTTCCAAGTCTACTGGTTCTAAAACAAAAGGCAATTCTAGGTACACATTAAGGGATTGAAATGCCTGTGAAGAGATCCTCTTCACTACTGCATGTTTTCCAGGTATGATCGTGTTTGCTTATTTGCCATCAGAACATATCACTCCTGATACTAGAGAGATTTAAGAAAGTTGCAACAACAAAAATACTGCAATGTAATTTAACAGACCAAAGAATCCTATAAATAGGCCACTCTGCTAAAACAACCCAGGCCCAAACAGCCTGATTTTTTTTTAAGGGGTACATTGTGGCACAAGGTAGCAGAAGAGGTTTGAGGCTGCCTGTGCTTCATGAAAAGTTTCACCCAAGACCACTCATCATAAGAAGATGGGTTTGCCAGCACTCGGGAGGCAGAGACAGGCGGATCTCTGTGAGTTCGAGACCAGCCTGGTCTACAAGAGCTAGTTCCAGGAAAGCCTCCAAAGCCACAGAGAAACCCTGTCTCGAAAAACCAAAAAAAAAAAAAAAAAGAAGAAGAAGAAGAAGAAGAAGATGGGTTTGTTGGCTTAGAATATTAACTGAAAGCTCCTTTTTTTCTTCATGGTGCAGGAAGCCAAGTATAGGTAAAATTTTCTTTATAATACTACAGACCTAAAATCACGAATTTCCTGGAACTGGTTAAGATCTGCTCTTAAAGGGCACCTTGTTGTGTGAACAATCTGCTGCAGGGTTAACCCCAAGCCCTGGATTTGCAGGCTATGTCCTTGACCATAAAAAACAAAGGACTCAAAATTCACATTCCCTCCAGATGTGCACCAGCCAATGAACATCTGCATGGTACCTGTGTTAGTGGGTTTCTTCTGATGCCCATTCAGTCTCCTCAGTCTGTCTTCATTTCTCGTTCTAAGCTGATCGACATTTACACTGGAGACAGATTTTAAAGAGAGACCACCTGGTGGCATGGGGAGCCGACTATTATCCTATAGTTGAGAGAGAATTTAGAAACACTAACAGTCAAAATAGCTTTACCCTGGACCAATACACACTGTGAAGAGCAAAACAGGGGCCTGTGGATTCTGTCTCCTGTCTTTGCAAGTACCAATGACCCTGAAGACAAATGCTGGCAGGAGGCATGAAGTTCAGTAAAGCACAAACTGAGCAGAGACTTAGTGTTCAAGATAGTGTCACTGGCAGGACAGATACACAAAGCAATGGAAGAAATTAATCCTGAAAAGTAATCCTGCTATTTTTTTTTTATGAGGACCAAAGTGCAATAGAGAAAATAGTCTTTTCAATGACGGTGCTAGATGAATAATGTCTGCATACTAAAGAAGGAATTCAGATTGTATATGTCATACTGTATGCAAAACTAACTAGTATCACAAATAAATCTTCATGGTTTTATGTTAAACTAATTTCTTATGTAAGACCCTCAAAAACCCAAATGATAAAAGGAAATTGATAATTTTGACCTCATTAAAAGTTAAAGCCAAAACCTATCAAGAAGATAAAAAGGGACAATCTTTTTAATAGAAAACATTTGCAAATCTAACATCTGATAATGTATAAAGAAGTCTTACGTTTCACTAATGAAAATAGTACACACAATTTAAAAATAGACAAAGGGTTTGAATTGACGTATCCACAACTAGCTAGGAAGCACAGGAGATATTCTATGACATAATGGACATTTTAGCTGTAAGCAAAATGATGGATGGTAACCACTTCTGGGCATGGAGAAGTGGGAAATTCATATACTGCTATAAATGAAAACTGTTTGAAAATGTAAAATGGTGAGAACATGTTTTGGAAAACAGTCAAAAATCCTTCAGAATGTTAAATTTATACAATGACCAAATAATCCAGTAATTCAGTTACTTACATACCCAAGAGAAACAGGTAAAACAAAACAAAATCTACATGAAACCTGTTTATGAGTGCTAACATTAATCTTAGTCATGACAGCAAAAATGTGACACTAACAAGCAAACTGTAGTATCTGCATAGAATAAAAAGGAATCTAGTATTGACACATACTATAAGATGGATGGCCACTGACAAAGAACAAGAAGACAGTCACTTATATGAAATAAATATGCAGAAAGACAACAAACACAGACCAAAGCAGATGAGTAGTTACCTGGGGCAGCAGATTTTGCAGCCTGATAAGGCTAGCCATGTGATTGTGCTAGCTGGCAGACTATTAAGCTCCTGAGTACTTGTACTTGTCACATAAATGGGAATAAGGAGCTTAAGAAGCTGTCCTACCCGAAAGAGGAAGGGCACCATCAGAACTCCAAAGCCTTTTTATTGACTACATTGTAAAGCTATGGAAAAGAACATGGGTTTGAATCTCAGTCCTCTTACCTATTGACCTTGGGAAACTCACTTGACCAAAATGGAGTTGCAACCATATTATGTTATTTCAAGGCTAACAGGCTTTTGATAAATGCTGTCATTTGCTTTGTATGGCTTCCCTAAAGCCCATACATTATTTAGGAAATAAGATAAAGTTTAATGTTTGTAGGAAAGGATATCTATGACATTTGCAGAGCTACACATTGCCATCATAACAGCTACAAGGTCACCATGATAACTGACAGCAGAACCTAGATTCAGACCACACCAGCCTGACTTTCAAAAGCAAGCGCCCCTCCTTGTTTTGTTTTTTTAACTGGAACACATAAATCGAGACCACACTTTGAATCATCTAAGCTGAGAAGATGTGGGAAGAAGATCATACATACAAAATCGATTCCTTTCAATTTGTTCCTCCTGCGCTCCCGTGCAGAGGGAAGCTGTGACGGTGGAGGGAAGGCATCCTCATCAATGGCAGGGTATGTCTCGCCATAAGCGCCTAAACAAAGAAATCTTCAATTTTATTCAGAGACTGACGTGTTTTTCTTTAGTTGCTTTATGGAGATCACTATACAAGTTCAGTGAATTCTTTAGTGAATTTACAGTTGCACAATCATGACTATCTAGAATTTCCATAAAACAGCTAGCTCCCTTATGCTGTTCACTGGTAACCACTCCCTAGGCCCCACATGAATGGAATTCTGCAACACCATCTGTTGTCTCTCTCCCTTGGCGAGTGTCTGCGGTTCATGTATCATTTCATTGCTGAGTCATGTTTCATTATTCGGGTCCAGCACATTTTGCCTCTGCCGGTGCCAGTTGGTGAACACTGCTACCTTGTGGCACTTGAATGATACCACTTGATGAATATTCATGCACATCTCTGTGTGGACATGACTCCTTTGGGACAGAAACTAGGAATTATTGGCAGCTGTTATGGCGATGGCTCAGCATTTTGTGTGGCTGCCAAACTACTTTCAAAAATAAATGGTTGTTTCAGCCTGTCACTGCAGGGCAAACCTATGATCTCAATTTTCAAGAGGCAGGAGGATCAAAGTTTGAGGTCATCCTGGGCCACAGTGAGTTCCAGTTCAGCTTGGACTAC